CAATGGTAAGATTCATTGTGGTATATTCATATAGGAAAGTTAGGTCAGATTCATTCCGATATTCTTTTCATATCCCATCCTTCCTCTCTCTCCTTGAATCCCCTTAATCTAGTCCACTGATCTTTCTTCTATTTTTTTTTAAACTTCACCCAACTTATTTGGATTAGCTTCTACATAACAGAGAAAACATCCAATCTTTGACTTTTGGGGTCTGCCTTTTTTTCACTTAGGATAATCTCCAGTTTCATTCATTTACAAACAAATGTCATCTTTCTTTATGGCTAAGTAGTACTCTGTTGTGAATATATATCACATTGTCTTTATCCACTCATCTGTGGAAGGGCACCTAGGTTTGTTCTGTAGCTGGCCATTGTGAATTGTACTGCTATAAACATTGATGTGGCTATGTCACTGTAGTATATTAATTTTAAATATTTTGTATATATGCCAAAGAGTGGGAAAGGTGGAAATTTGTATTATTGGTTTCAGGTTTTTCCTTTCTAATACAAGTATTTACAACTATAAATTTTCCTGTACTACTTCAAATTTTCCTCTAAACACCACTTTGGATACTTCTCATAAATTGTTTTTTATTTTCATCCAGTTCTAAATATTTGTCATTTTTATTGTGACTTTTATATTTTGTCCATAGGTTATTTAAAAAGATTTTCTTTAATTTCCAAATGTGTAGAGATTTGCCATATATCATTTAATTTTTGATTTCTAGTTCAATTGGGAGTTCATCTGAATATATAATAATTATGATTTTAGTCCCTTAAAATTTATTGAGACCCATTTTATTTCCTGGAATGTGGTCCATTTTGGTGAACATTTCATGTGCCCTTGAAAAGAGTTTGTATTTCATCTTGTTGGTTGGAACATTGTAAAATATCAGGTAGTTTCAATTGTTGATTGAAATGGTGGTACTGACATTTTTAATATAGTTAAAAATTTTCTGTCTACTTCTTCTATACATTACTGTGAGAGGACCATGGAAATAATTATATATGATTCTGGATCTATCTATCTTTGCAGATCTATCAGTTTTGGATTTGTCTATATTGGTATATTTTAATAAGTAGGACTTAGATTATTTGCATTTAATTTAATAAACTATGGTTGGGTTTAAATCTAGCAGTTTCCCATTACTTTATACTGTCTCATTTGTTTGTTTTTTATTTCTTGTCTTTTTCTATCTTCCTTTAGGTGAATTTAATATTTTTTTTATGATTTCACTGTTCTGTCCAGTATTGACATATTAGCAATACCTCTATATTTCTTCCTTTTTAACTTCTTTAGGCCATTGGTCCCCAAACTACATTCCTTGATCCACCATCAACTGAGAAAAACAAATTCTTGAGCCCCCTGACAAGATCTGCATGGGAAGCTTTTGGGATGAGAAGCTATGTTCTGTGAAGGCCTAAAAGGGATTCTAATGAAGTAGAATTAGAGAAACATTGACCTAGGTGTATAGTATACATCATTAGCTATCTCAATCCTCTTGAAATAATATTTTGCCCCTTTGTGTACTACCATTATTTCATCACACATTTTGATATTGCTGTAATTGAAAGACATTTTTGTTTAGTACATAATTTGCCTGATATAAAATGGTTGGCATTTTGCTTTGTCTTTCAGCACTTTGAAGTTGTCATTTCATTGCCTTTTGATGTGCACAGTTTGTGACAAGAAACCCACAATCATTCTCATTTTTCATCTTCTGTTTATAATTTATAGTATGTCTTTTTCTTCCTTTTTGATACTCTGAATGAAGCGTTTCTCTTTGCCACTGATTTTCAGCATTTTATTAAAGTTGACTTATTATGCTTTTCTTTGCCCTTATTCTCCTTAAGGATTCATGAGATCCTTGGATTTATAGGCTTGTTTTCATCAAATTTGAGAATATAATTCGTAATTGTTTCTTTAAATACTTTTTTATCTTCTCCCTTGTCTTCTCTCCTGTTGAGGTGCCCTATACATTATGTTAGAACAGGTTTTTTTGTTTGTTTGTTTTGTTTTGTCTTTGTTCTCTGTACAATTCAATTTGGATAGATTCTAATGCTGTATTTCAAAATTTACTCATCTTCTGTAATTCCTATTATTCTGTTAACCCATCCACTTTATTTATTGTAAATTACATATTATTTCTAGATTTTCTATTTAGATCTCCAAAAATATTTTTCATTTTTCTTCTAATCATGTTGACATTTTTCTCTGAACATGTGAAATGCTCATATCATCATGGTTTCAATGACCAAGTCTGATAATCCTGTAATTTCTGCTATTCTGTGCCTGTTCCTAGTAAATGATCTTCTTCCTTGCAATAGTTTTCTAGCATTACCATAAGAAGATACCATTAATTGGTTGGATTAACAACAGACATTTTCTTTAGAGTTCTGAGGGCTGGAAGTTCAAGGTTAAGGTGTCAACATAGTTGGCTTCCTCCAAGAACTCCCTCCTTGCCTTACAGATGACTGTCCTTTAGCTGCCTCTTCATATGACTTTTTCTCTATGCATGCATAACCATGGTATGTGTTTAAATTTTTTCTGTTTATAAGGATACAAGATAGGTTAGACCTCTCTCTCTCTCTTTTTTCCTGGTGGTCCTTGGGATTAAACCGTGGGCTTTGTACATGTCAGGCAAGTATTCAACTACTGAGCTACAGCCCTACAGTCTTATTTTAACTTAATTTCTTAAAGGTCCTATCAGCAAATATAGTGATATTCTGAGGTACTGCCATTAGTCTTCAAAAACTGGGTTTGAGAGAGAGAGAGAGAAAAAAAATAAGTCTGTAACCCTTCTAACTCTAGTTCATATTTTTTGTTTGTTTGTTTTAGAATTCCTGGGTTGCTCGTTTCACAAGGAGTTGAACTCAATTTTGAGGTTTAAATATCAGATGGCTGATTTTGATTTAGTTCTTTCAGTTGTATTGGATTTATTCTAGCATGCAGTTATGTTACTTGGGTTCAGTTTGAGACTTGCTTTTAAGATTCATTAGCACAAATCTGGAGTAACCTTTAATCCTTTAATCTTTAAACCTTTAAACCTTTAATCCTAATTTTATCAGCATTCCTAGTGCCCCTTGCAAATAAGGTGACACCTTTATGAGAATACTGGCCATTGTCCATGCATTATAGGTCTTTGCATTCCGGCTTGTGGTTAAACAAATTATTTACAATCCTGTGTAAACTCTGAGAATTGTTTTGCCTATTGATTCTTGGTAGTTCTGTAACTGAATTTACATAGTCTCCTTTCAAATATGAGTAGATATTATTCAGCCTAAGACTCGAATATAGTCTTCCACAGCACTCTGGACCTTCTTTCTATGGATCTTTCTTTCCTTCCACATGCAGCTGCACAGATTCTGGCTGTTGGTTTGTTGTTGTTGTTTGTTTGTTTTAAATTCTATTGGTTCTTTTTAGTTATACATATGGTAGAATCCATTTTGATATAATTATACAAGCAAGGAATATATCTTATTTTCAACAGGACACCACTCTTGTGGATATACACAATGGTGGTGTATTCATATATATGTATTCATATGTGTACATAGGAAAATTATGTTAGATTCATTCCACTATGTTCCTTGTCTTAGCTCCTCTCCCTTCCCTTCGTTCCCTTTGTCTAATGTAGTGAGTTTCTAGCTGTTTTGACCTCCATGAACTTCATTCTTTGTTTGGCTCAGTGAGACTGCTTGAGTTTCCCCTGTCTGTGCTGCAGCCTATAGATTGCCCCTAGGCAATAAGAAGAAGGGATTGCTAAACTTAGCTAGCTATTTTTCCTCCTCTAGGCCCTCAGGAAACACAGTTCTGCTGCCTATTGTCTGATGCCTGAAAATACTTGCTTTGTATATTCTGTTTGTTCATTTTCTAGGTTTATTTTGTTTGTTTTCTATCTATCTATCAATCTATTTATTTATTTATTTTTGTTGCAGTACTAGGGATTGAACCTAGGGCCTCCTATGTGCTAACCAAGTGCTGTACCATAAAGCATATCCCATCCTTTTTCTAGTTTCTTCATGCAAAAGGATAAACGTAGTCTTCTTTTACCCATTGTGACTGAAAGTAAAAATTCTATTTTCATAATTATTTGATTGTTTTAAGGTAAAAAGTTTTTATATAATATTTTCTTCAGTGTTCAGTATAAAGTTTTAGTATTTATTTAAATAATTTCCCTTTTTTTCCTAGCACTAATTATTCCAAGATAATTAGAATAACTATATTTGTCCATGATATTATATAAGATGTTAATTATTTTAATATCCTAGGAATAAGCCAATGCAAATTAATAAGCTTTGGAAGAAGAACAATTTACAATACTATTCATTTCTTGGGATCTATTTAGTCTATTTGTTAGTCATATGTGTTATTTAACTAATTAAAGTTTATGTTACAGAGTAAAAAACCTGCTTGATATTTGTTACAGTTCTTACATTGCATAAATAAAAAAAGGAAAATGTGTTCAAATTAATGTATTTTATTTCCATGTGGATATGAATTTGTCACTTAAGATTATCCTTTCAAATTTTTAATGCCTTTTCTCACTCTTACCTTATTAATTCTACTCATTCAAATCCATGTAGAAATTTTCATAAACGCATATCAAGTGTCTAATGAAAGAAGAATTGTCATGGTCAAATGTGTTTAGTGATTGACACCTATCAATTTTTTCTCTTAATATTGTTTTGGCCTTACTAGTGGCAGGTAATAAACAAATTGAAGCACACTATTCCATCTATGTCTGATCAAGAGGAAATTGGTGCTCATAGTTACATTTAAAAAATTTTCCTGAATCCTGGTATGAAAAAAAAATGAGGTGAATAAAATATTTTTCTGGTACATATTTACATTTGAAAGTCATTGGAAACTTCTTTCCCCCACGCAAAATAACAAGTTAACTTTATTAATACCTTAAATCCATACTTATAAAGCATAATTCTTGTCCTGTTTGGCCTGATTTTGCACCTGATTTTTCCTTTATTTCACTTTCTTCCCAGGAAAACAGTTGGTGTTTTCTGTTGTGGACCCAGTTCAATTTCCAAGACTCTTCATAAATTAAGTAACCAGAACAATGCCTATGGAACAAGATTTGAATACAATAAAGAATCTTTTAGCTGAAACCCTATGTGGTGAACCAGGACTCTAAAGAAGGAATGAGTGCAATTTCCAAGACTTGGAAGCTCAACTGAATCGAACAGTTGTGTTATGCCAAAGAGTAACAAGCTTTTCTTATTTATGATTATTTAAAATGAAAATGCAGAGAATGTGGCAGCATGACAGGTCACATTACATGTTTAATCTGGAAACCAAAGACCTGAGGAATATCTGAAGTGGTGATTCACTTTTCAATGTTCAAATTACAAGAACACTATTAGATGCACACTGTTAATCTTTATGGCAAATTTGGGAACTCCCTGGTGAGGAGCTGAACTCACTCACTCTGAAGCTGTTAGCTGTGGTCCTCTTTAAATTGTTTTTGGTTGAACAAATACAAGATTGAAAAAAAATAAAAATTCATTGAAACTCAGATTACATTTCCTACATTGCATATGACAGAGTAGCTTTAATTTGGAGAGGCTCCAGGCAAATATATTTGATGTTTGAAAATGCAGCACATGATTCTGGTTGATTCGGGTACTTTGTGTCAGTATCCAATCTTCTTCACCACTGATGCTAATACCTCTCTTTGTATCTGTACACAGCATGCTAACTGAACCTTCTGCAGATGTTGATATATCATCTATTTTTATGTTTTTCTCTCTTCCTTGTCCTCTGTCTAGTGAAATCTGTCTTTCTTTACTATCATTAGACACAATGATTCAATAAGTTCTTTTCATCTCCTATTTACTTAATCTATTACTACTACATAGTAATGAAAATATCATTACTATAATTTTAAAGGGACATATATGCTAATAACTTTTTTCCTTTTTCACTGTTTTAGCCCCTGCTGTTTTTTTGGGTTTTTTTCACTCCCCTCTCCCCCAGATATAGTTTGTCTAAGGTTTTAGCTCAAAGTACTTTGTCTGATTTGTACTCCAATATCAAAGAGTACTATATTTGGTAGCAGGCACTGAAATGTAAGTTTTATCTCTTTTGTCACACATTGCTAAGCCCAACATCCACTCCCAGTACTAGGATTGAACCCAGGGGCATTAAGCTACATCCTCAGATCATTTTTAATTTTTATTTTGAGACAGGGTCTCACTAAATTGCCCAGGCTGGCCTTGAACATGCCATCCCCCTGCCTCAGTCTCTAGAGTATCTGGATTACAAGTGTGTATACATGTTGTTTTATGATGGAGACAGTTAAAGTGTAGTCACATTCCTAAACAGAGACCTGCTGTTTTACTTTCTACAAAAGTAGATGTACCTCACTAGCTATTGAAATTTCAGTTTAGAATTAAGAGTGGTATTGTTGCACTGGGTGATGTCATAAATTCTTAGGATTAAAATTACTGTTGGGACTATGCTGTATGATTCCATCAGTTTGTAATGCCTGGCAGTTATATTCTTGCCTTAGAGGAAAAATCCTCTTTACTATCCTAAGAATTCAGGCATTCATACAATTTAGTGATTTTTGTTCAGTAGACATCTATGAATTATCATCAAATAGAACAAATTTCTGAAATCAGCAATTCACTTGTCTGGTCTTTATTAAAATCTTGCAAATAACACAATATAATAGATGCTGTTGTCTTTTTTTTTTTTTTTTTTTTTTTTTTGCTATGATTCACCAATAGCAATCGAGCATGCTAAACCATTCAATGCTATTCTTCATTTGCCTGGATTTTTTTCTTCTCCCTTCTGCAGAAAGAAGGTGAGTCAGAAGGTGATTAAAAAATGTGCAATGCTCCTGCAAATTTACATCTGAAAGCATAATTAATAACTAGTACATCTTAGCAAAACTTTCTAGATTAAAAAGAATTTTCATGAAAACATGTAATGGAAAGAATTAGTAAAAAGAATTGAGTTTATGCAATCTTTATGTGCAATACTGACTTTACTGATCATAATGTATTTTTGTGCTTTCATTAGAGCATTTAATTTTGGTAATACAGTAATATTTTTTAAACGAAACATGGTATTTCAGACCAGGTTTGCTATGCTAAATGAAACTCCTTGCCTCTTCTAAATTCTAGTAGATGTTTAAATATTAATATTCAACAGTTAAATTTTGTTTCTGTTTATAAGAATGAATTTAAAGCACATATGATATCTTCATTTTGCTTTGAAGAACTCTTTCTATAGGGGATTGTTGTGGTACAAGTATTCTATCACTAATTTTAATGGCAACACACAATAAAATTGAAATGGTGTCCTTGGAATTTCTATAAGCTCACCTTGCCTTTGCAACAATAAAGCTGTAACATTTGTTCACAAGTTTTCCATGTTTCAGAAGCAATCTGTTCCTCAGGAATTAGCATTTGAGTGCACATTAGCCTGTTAGCCTCAGGAGTTGGGATTCTCAGTGTCACAGGCTAGTGGTGTGACTAGGACAAATGACTTCTCACACTGGGGCTAAAGTTTCTGAAGTTAAAGTTAAGATTGGTAATTCTTAATTTTTGAGAACTTAATTCAAAATAAATATTGTGCCACACAATACATTGCATATAACATTCGGGACTGCCAAAACAATGTTTAGTAGCAAGAACAGATATTTAAGAACTTCTGATAAAAAAAAAAAAGATTATTATTATAGGCCTTTCTTCCTATACATTTTTTTTCCTTTGGTCTTTTGGAAGAAACTATCCAATTTTGTATAGGATCATACTAAGGAATTTATGGGCAAACAAATTCCCTTTGTATTTTCCTAAAAAAATAGACTGATGGTACTTTCTATCATTTCTTAAACTTCCTGACTCCCCTTATATGTGTAAGGGAATTCTTTAGTTTTACATGTAAATAATAATCATAAAAACCTCAGATTTGAATACATACATTCATATGTACATATATTTGGGGCTTGTTTTACTTTTAACTAGTGACTTCAGGTGAAAATGAAATGCTTGATAGTTATTCATTTAGGGACTTAAAAATTTCAGTTGAGTGACTATGATAGTACAGACATCTGAAAAAAAAAACCACACAATTTAGATCAGGCATAGGTTGAACTGAATTGATTTAATCTACATAGCCATATTATTTCCAACCATCCCTTCCCTAATCAGTTTTTACTTGGATTACCTACAGAAGGTAATGGATTGAAATTATAAAATATTGTCAAAAAATCTTGTTAGAGACAAAAAGGCTATTGTCATCAATAGATAATACTGATGCTGAAGAATCTGCATTATATTAAACTTTTCAGGGAAAGTTTTTGCTTTTCTCCTTAAGGATGGTTGCCACGCTGACCAGAGATTTTTTCAAGTCAGTCAATGGGGCAAATCTTTGTTTCAACTAAACGGTTTATTATTTTTGTCATAGCTTGGATTTTTTTATATTCAATATATTACAGAAATACAAAACACTGATGGGATCCTTATTTTGCTTATTAGGCAGTTAAGGAAACTGATGCCCTAGGAGAGAGATTATAACTTGTCTTAAATCATTGACATTGTAACAGAGCTGTGCTCAATTTTTCTAGTTATTGCTACTAAAAGACTCTTTTCACACCCACCTGCCGAAATACATATCTAATACAATATCTAGTCTCTTTAGTTTGAGTCTCCTTATAAAATTCCTAGTCAGTGTTGGGTGAAAAATAAGGTACTCAGCAGTAATTCCAGATGCAAATACATACAGTCATATTTTTTTTCCAATTTGTGTTCTGATTCTAAATTTGTTAGCCTTATATGTTTTACCTAATAGAACATATTTTCAGATATCAGTTTTCAAAACTGATAATTATGTTAAAGATACTAGATTCTCCAGAACTTTGCATTGGAAGGATACATAGTTGTAAAATTTCTAGGAAATGCTAATACTGTAGTTTTAAATTAAGGTTCATAAATGAAAGTCACAACTTTACCAGCTTTTTAACTACCCAGAAAAATATTAATATTAAAACAAGTGACTGTTGTTCTCTATTTACAGAACCATAACTTCTTCTTGTCTAGGAGGAAAGAACCAGCCTTTTGTAAGTCAGTAAACAGGAAATACATGGAATCAAGCTTAATGAAATTGGCATTTATTTCAGCCACCAAAAAACAATGAATGCCCACTGTTTCCCTCTGTCTAAATACTGGCTCTGTTGCCCCAACTTCTTTATTCCATTTTGCATTTTTTTAAAGGACAGAGTTACAAAAGTTAGCTAGACTAAATTTTTCTAAGAAAAAACTCAGAAGATTTCCAATACCTAACAAAGAAGAGTCCAATAAAAGAGACTAAAGGTTATGTAAATTTTTTAAAATAAACAGAAACTAAATAATGTTGCTTTAGAGCAAATACCAATATTGTAAATGTACTGTGTTACCCTATATATTTAAGAATTGCTTGGTGAGGATACGAACATTCTCATAGAAGCAAAAGTAGAAAGAAAAAACAAATTATAGAAATAAAAATTATTTAAAACATCAGGATGTAATCCTCCTATCTTATAAGATGCTCAGGTTGAGTGTTAAAACTGGTTATTAATTTGGTTTGGGAAAAAATTTTAAAGAACCCAGTGTCTCTTTTTAGGGAGCTTTTCACATTTTCATTGGCACTATAATTTAAAAGAAATTTTGTCTTTTATCAAAATTATATCTCACTTCTTTTAAAAACAGAGTTCTGTGAGCTGCTATTTGACCTAGAGAAGACCCTAGCATTCCTGATGAAAATCAGCATTACATAAATATGCTCATGTACATGGCAATAAAGAAGGGGAGGGTGCCATGCATTGCTGAGTGACACACACCATAATATTCTGTCATTGAATGGTGATATTTCACAGATCTTATTCTTCCACCCAGGGAATGAAAACGTTCTTAATACATGTAGAAACAGAAAACCACAGTATCTCTGTTGTATCATTACAGTGTATCAGTTCACCTCTATCAGCACATTCATTTGAACCTCCTTATCAATTCAGTATAAATTGATTTTAGGAGTGAGAAGTCTACACAATGCATAAAATGGGGTCTTTGCTTATCTGGTCATAAGTATATTGTGGCCTACACATTAGCTAGGGAGATACTATTAAATCTTTTTTCCCCCCTTTCTTCTTGGGAGAGACCCAAAGGAATGCAAATTACTGCATGTATGTCAGAATGGGACCTGTGTGGTACTCTATGGTGCTATTAGAATTGCTGCACACATTCCACAGGTACCCAGGGGCTGTGGTTTAAGAAAGTGTCAGCTTTTGAGTCAGCCTGGCATCTTTAAGGACAAATCTAGGTGCTCTCCATGGGTTAATAACCTTTATTTAAAGATGATGATTATCTGCATACCAAATGCCATTAGAAGGAAATTATCTTTATTTTCTTGTCTTTTTGTTAGACTTTGTTTTAAAATGAAAGGTAAGAATAGCAGACATAATTTTAAGAGGTGGGAATAATAGACTGAGGCTGTTCTATCTTGAGACTGACAAGTAGTGTTAGCATTTATTTTATCACCCCCAAAGTGTGTGGAATGAATGGGATTTGGGGTTAGGATTCAGAGGATTTGGAGCCTCCATCCCTGGAATGTATTAGACTACATATTTAAAAACAAGAATAATGTCTAATTTATAGGGATGCCATATGAAAGAATGTGGGGGAAGGAACAAAAAGGATAGGAAAGAGAGAAGTTTCCTTGCAAATCTTCCTTAATGGGTTTTTGATAACAATAAAAATAAAGCACTATTCTAAGAAAATATAAACAGAAGCTTTTCCATTGTAACTGAAAGCTTTAGTACTTGATTTGATTTTCTGGGCAAGTTGAGCAGTAGCCACAAACAAACCCACACCACTATCTCTCTTTGTTCTTCTGAGATCCCTATAAACAAAGTTA